GACGCTCTTCCGATCTCCCCAAAACCCCAAAACCCCGCAACGATAATCAGCAAAGTTACCAATGAAAGCTTATATCAAAATCAAAAGAAAATTAATATTTAAGTGTATTAAAAAGATTCTCTTAAAACATGGCATCCAATCTAAACTCAATCAATAATAATTTTCTTGCTAAGGTATATTGATATTATTCATTGACAATGATAATTAGAATGGTTCGCATGCATAGTTAGGAATAGATAAGCAGAGATCAGATCCAATTATGAACTCTAACGGATATTAGTCAAACTCTGGGGTAAAATTAAATAAATCAATGATAAAAATAGGCTAATTTTGATCCTAACTCTATTATGATGCATCAAAAGATAAAGAATAACAGGTTCAGAGGTAACTTCAAATAATCCTAATGATATATATATTATTAGCTGTTTAAGAAAGGAATGATGAGGATGATGAGCAGGCTCAGAATTTGAATAATCAAGACTTTTAAAGTATTTATAAAGATGTTTACTTTTAAAGGAGTTAAACCATTTCAGAAGTTTCAAAGAGGAGAATCTTAAAAAGTACTGCCTTTCAAGGGATAAGATGGAGGCACTCTTGAATATATACCTTCATAGCAGAAATACAATTTAAACTCAAATAACATACTTAAGGATACAAATGATATCTATTTTAAAGGAGGTTATGATTAACAAGTAGATAAGAGAGTTATGTAAGTTAAATTTATTAAATGAATAATATAATAACTCAAATAAATCCTATAGGTCTGCTAAAAACTACAGCAATTATAAGATGCAAATGATAAACTCATTCAAAGCATACAAAAAGTATTATTTTTCATGCTAATTTAATCTTAGAGATGATATTACTCCATTTTTATTATCAAATAAGGCTATTATGTAAGCGAGAACAGCTAATAACTTTACTCAACAAAAGTCGTCATCAACAAAATAGCTGGGTTTAGTGATAGATAAAAATGTGATTAGAAATAAGTCATAGAGAAGAAGCACTTTGAATATCTTTGAAAGAGAGCAACTTAACGAGGAATGTCTATAGCTAAAAGATCAAATCAATGAATTGAAGGAATCAGTTTTAGTTTTGAAGAATCAAAGACAATTTCTCCAAAATGAACTTACAAAAAGGGATAAGACTATTGAAGAACTAAATAATGCTCTTTACTACTAGTAGCCTGTATTCCAAACGCAAAAGATGGCTTAAAAAGTAGCCAAATAGCAAATGAACTTCAGTCCTAACCTAGTTATAAATCTTAAGAGAAACATGAATGATTTGCATACTTAGCTATAAGAAAAAGACTTTGAATTAGACAAGATAAAGAAAAAGATGAAGTACACAAAGATTATAGAACTAGAAATAGAACTTTAAGAGAGGGATAAAATTCTTATGTAGATGCAAGAATATCTTAAACTCAACTCCCAACAATACTCTTAATTAGTAAATCAGCAAAGAAATAACAGTGGCATTGGATTACAGAGTTAAGGTTCAAATTCTATGAACAATATCTAAGATATTTAACCAAAGTTAAATACTCTTTATAATATTTCTACGGCTTAGCATAATGGCAAAGGAAATGATTCATCTCCTTAGTAGGATGCCTTGGTCAAAACCTTAAATGATCAAATCACCTAACTTAAGGACTAGCTGACCTAGTCATAAAAATAAAATTAATCCAAATAGAAAGAGGTAGATAATATGAAGAAAATGCACTAAGAACTCCAAGAAAATTCAAATAGACTGATAGAAACAATGAACTAGAATAACATAAGGCAATCTCAAGAGAACCTTTTGCTAAGATAATCATCATCCGAAACTGATATACTTAAGCAGCAAATAATGTAACTGTAAAATGATAAGCAAAGTCTCTAAGATGAGCTTGATGAAAATAGATAGCTTCAATTTAATGAAAAAGATAATCAATAATCAGACTTAGAGCAGTAGCTAAGAGATGAAATTTTAAAATTGAAATCCAAATTATCAGAGCAAGAAAGGATGAATGACAGTTTCAGATATAAGGATGAGGAAAAGGAAGATTAAATATCTGAGTATAAGAGTTAAATAACCACTTTGAATGATTAAATTGAAAATCTCAGCACTTAAATCTAGAGTAATCATGAAGAAGTGAAGGATAAGGAGAACAAAATAAAGATACTGACTGATAAGCTTAAATATCTCAATGAAAACTTTGCCTTATTATAAGACGAAATCAAGGAAAAAGATGAAAAAATGCAAGGAAAAGAAAATAAGTTGAAGGAATAGGCTGAAAAGATTCTAGAAATGGAAAAAGAAATTGAAAAACTCAAGACATAACCCCCTCCAAGATAAAGAGGGTCTATTAGAGTAACTTTTAAGGATATACCAATAGAAAATTCAGCAAACCCAGATCAAAAGCCAGAAAGTGAAGAAAGAAAGTAGGAAGAGTCTGAATCATAATCACCATAAAAAGGAACTGAAAAAACACATTCTGAGGAAATTCAATAGCCTAAGTAAGAAATTATTGCTAGAAAATAAACAAAATCCTTATTCGATGCTATCAAGGAGGAATAGGAGCGTGAAAATCAAATCCCTCTCAGTAGCTATTCTAAGTAAGGCGAGAAAATTAGTTTAGACGATGACGATTTCAGAGCAAATAGCAATAAGTAATTGGCAGAGGAAGGTATTTTGAAAATGGCTTACTATTTGAAGAAAAATAATGTTGAACTAAGAGACATATTTATAGACATGCTTTATGACGACACGATTGACGGTAAAGAATTTGAACTGATACCTATAAGAGAGTTTAGCGAGTTTGCTCGTAAGACCATGGAGCTAGAGGACTCTCATGTTTAAGCCATTAGCATCATGATGTCAGATCACTTCATTGGAGAGTCTCTAGACTTTAAATTTTTGTATGAGATCTTTGTGGAGCTTGGGATATTAAAGCCTAAGGTTACCCTGAATAATAAATCAATCAGAGTCCTTAATAGAATCAAAGATTATCTTGAGAAAAACGGCATTGCCAGCATAGTCAAGTTGCTTGAGGGTAAAACATTTAATCAAACCATTAGAATTAAGGGAAAACCTGATTAGCAAGTAAGTCACATTTATTATATGAGATTAAACTTAATAGATATTGATGATAAACACCAAAGTATTCTTCGACTATTTGCAGGAAATTTAAATCAGAAAATCAAATAAAGAACTTGAGGATGTCTAAATTAACTTTGCCATTCATAAAAAATTAATTGACAACTTAATGGTAGAAAAATTGTCAAAGTATATTGGGGACATGAGTGGCAACTCAACTCTCAAGAAGACAGGGACAATTGTAATAATAAATAAATTTTTATCAAATTTCTTACTTTAGAAAAGAGCTAGAACTTATGAATATGAGAAAGCATAAGAGCAAGAACAACTTCTGAACCAGATGAGGCAATTAGAGGTCCAGCAAAAAGCTCAATAATCCAAGCTAACACAAGGTGATGATCTAAGCTCAATTACATCAAATGAGGATCATAGCCATATTTATGAGGACGAGGAAAAAGAGGAGAAAATTGATGACGATGACGAGGATATTGAACAAAATCGATCTTAACAGCAGGAAGAAGTTGGTGGAGAATATGCAGATCAGGCTTAGGAATAGGATTATCAAGAAATATCCCCAATGAAAGAGTCTTTCTAAGATAATTATGAAGAGAGTGTGGAGGCAGCCCCTGAAAATGATGCAATTTTAAGTGAATAAGCAGCAAATAATAACAATTCAAATATTGAAGATGACTATGAGATTTGATCATTTAAAATCAACAGATAAGCTTTAATCTATTATTGAATTTCTCATTAATTTACATATTATCAAGTTCTATGGTAGATTTTGGCAATGAGGGGTTTTGGGGTTTTGGGGTTTTGGGG